GGGCAGAGCGCTTCTGCTGACAGCGACTTTCCGTCAGTGGCCTGTCTCTCTTGGAGGCAGCTGTCAATCACAGGCCAGCCCGCGCTCCCGGGGGAGTTCATTGTGCCCGCAGACAGTTGTGGAATAACTGCTCCTAGGCGTCGGAGCAGCAGATGGAGTGTATCTGTCAATCATTGTCACTAATTATTAACTTCTGTCACTCAGAGCAAGGCAACATCTCGGCGCCTGATCCGCTGTGATTTGATCTGCCACGCCACCTCGGAGACAGTCGGAGCAACCCTTCATTCCGGTCACACTCTCAGCACTTTGCTGGGTCAGCCGCTGTGACTCAGTGCTGCGCCCCAGACCGGGCTGATGGCACGTGGCTGTACACACGCGCCTCGGCTTCCAGGAGGCAAAGCCACCGCGAGAGGCCTCCTGGGGGCCCACGCCAGGGGCGCCGGTGCCTACTCGTTAATTATTAAAGGAGGGCGTTTTTATCTTGTCCGCTGGCAGAATCGAGGCTAAAATAGAAGAAAGAGACCAATTTAGAGGGTTTTCTTCTCTTTGCTCCACCCGGGGACCAGTGATTATCACTCAAGTTCACATTGATTATATTCCTATGATCTCTTCTCAACCTTGTGATTTGGGAGCTGGCGATGTCAGCCTGAATAATTAATTAAGGCATCCGTGTAGCTCGCTTTGCAAACAGGAGCTATAACCTGAGTGGATCTTTGCTATGGATTGGGAGGTGGGAGACTTGGGTTCAGAGAGCCTCTTCATGACAAGACTGGGGAGGGGGCTCAGGGATCTTCAAGCCCAGCATCCCCCAGAGAGCCCACTGCTCTAATCCCTGAAGATCACACAATCAAAATAAGTGCATCACGTCCCAGGCTGAGTAGGTCGGGGTGCCATAGCGCTGTGCCAACTGCCCTCTGCTAGGGGGTTTGGGGAGATGCCTGAGACTCCTGTAAGGGGCTGAAAGTATGGCCACCTACTCTGAAGTCCCTCTGGGCACCCTAGTACGCACCGCTTTCCCTCTCTGGGAAATGATCTCTGCTCATGAACAAAACTAGGATAATTACAGACGCTCCTTCCAGGACTGGGGTAGAGCGCTTACACAGCATGAACAAAGCCCTAACTCTCCCCAGCATCATAGACACTGGGTGTGGAGGTGCGCCTGTAATCCTAGCACTTAGGAGGTGGAGGCAAGAAGACCAGCAGTTCAAGGTCAACCCTAGCTACGTAGTGAGTTCAGCGCCAATCTGGGATGTGTGTGTGTGTGTGTGTGTGTGTGTGTGTGTGTGTGTGTGTACATATATGTGAGACTTTGCCTCAAAAAAAAAATCAAAACCAGAACTTCCTTCAATCAAAACCTTGCCTGGCTCTTGCCTGGCACAGTTAACACTCTCTTGGTGGGGATGCATCCATTATCCATTCATGCCAAGTGAGAGTTGGATTTTAAGAAGCATGAGAAACCTGCTATGAGCCTACAGACCTGGCTGTCATTTCCATAACTACCCATCTGGGACCTGCTTGGGTAAACTGATGCAGCCTGGGGGTGAGCACACATGGGCTGTGTGTGTGAGGTGATGCCCCTTAGCTGGATCTCTGTCAAAGCAGCCACGCTCTCTGACAAACTGGGGTTCTATTCCCATTTGCTTTGCGTACCTTTTCTTCACGGAAGGTGCTCTAGGGTGGTCCAGCCAGCACTTGGTTAGAAACTAAGCCAAAGTCCAGAGCTGGAAATCAGAGTCTGACTGCATTTGAAAGCACACCCCGCTGTGTGCAATACCTGCCAGGGATGCTCTAGGCCACCCAAGATGAGAACCCCACCAGACTCCCTGCCCTGCTGCAATTCCCATGACTACACTAACCTTGCCCTGCCTTGCTGCAGTCCCCAAGACCATACAGAGTGCTTATGCGACACCGTGGGATCCTTTGTTGTCTAAACCAGTCTGGTCCTGTCTGAACTGGTCTAAACCAGTCTGGACCAGTCGAGACTGGTCTAAACCAGTCTGAACCAATTTGATCTGGTCTGAACCAGTGGTGACCGTTCTGGTCTGGTCTGAACCTGTTCTGGTCCAGTCTGCACCAGTTGAGACTGGTCTAAACCAGTCTAGACCAGTCTGGTCTGGTTGGGACCAGTCTAAACTGGTCTGGTCTGGTCTGGACCCTTCGAAACCAATCTAAACTGATCTGGTCCAGTCTGAATCAGTCGAGATCCGTCCAGACTGGTCTGGTCCAGTCTAAGCCAGTCGTGACCAGTCTGGTCCGGTCTGGAATGGTTGAGAATGGTTTAAATCATTCTGGTCTGGTCTTCACCGGTCGAGACTGGTCTGTTCTGGTCTGAACCAGTTGAGACCAGTCTGGTCCTGTCAGAACCAGTCGAGACAAGTCTGGTCTGGTCTGGACTGATTGAGAAGAGTCTGGTCTGGACCTGTCACGACTGGATCAGACCGGACCAGACCAGTTTAGACCTGTCTCGACCAGTCCAGACTAGACAAGACCGGTCACAACTGGTTTAGACTAGACCCTTGTCTCTGCGGAGCTGCTGTCTCCCCATTATCCCTCTTTCTCTACTTGGGCTCTTGCAATTTCTCCAGTGTATCAGCTTCATGGCAGTCAGATACCCCAGGTGACAGCCAGAGCTTCGAGGCACGGTGAGAGGAGACAAGAGAAAGATAACAGACAGCTGCCTGCTGCCTCTTATGTCCTGGTCTCCAAAGTCAGGCAGCCTCATTTCCTCCAGTGTTTCTTAGTCAAAGCAATGGCAGAGGTCGAGGGACAGACTCCCATGTCAAGAAAAGCAGGACTCAGGTACCTGTTGGTGCAGCTGTCTTTGGAAGCCACAAGCCATGACACCTTCCCTGGCCATCCCCTGTAATCTAGAAGCCAGGCCGATACCAGCTCTAGGGAAGCCATAGGACTCCAGCTCTGGAGAGGATGAGAAACCAGGGGCTCATTTGCAAGTCACACCTAGGACAGGCTGTCTGGAGTCCTGAGCAGGAGGAGTCTTATGAATACAGTGTTGCTACGGTGCCCAGCCTCCTCACACAATGGGTTCAATCACAGCAATGCCTTTCTTGGGCTGGTATTGACCTCACTGGCTCCTCGGGGAGAGTGAAGCCCTCCATTTTCTGGAATATGCCACCTCCCTCATTCCTTGAGGTCTGGCACATTCTGTTCCCTCTGTGAGGAGCATGCCCTGCCCTGCTCGCATGTTCTTGCTAACTCGGCTGAAACTTTAGGTTTCAACTTCCTTGCTACTTCCCTGGGAAGTCCGTCCCCAACTAACTCCCTCCCTGCGTCAAAGCTTCCAGTTGCCACTGTCCTATCACCCTGCATTTCTCCTTATAGCCTCTCCCACCAGTGTAACTAAATAATTCTCTTAAACGTCCCTGGAGTTTTTTTTTTTTTTTTTTTTTTTTTTTTTTTTTGAGATAGAGTCTCTAAAGTTCAGGCTGGCCTTGAGTCTACTGTGTAGGTGAGGGTGACCTTGAACTCTTAATCCTCCAGTCTCCTCCTCCCAAGCACGGGGATTTCAGTCGTGCTCTACCCTGCCCAGTTTCTTCAAGCTGGAATAGCTAGGGCTTTGTGCAAGCTGCCCAGACACTCGCTAACGAACCCACTCCTCCAGGCGATAGATATGGTAAGGTAACAGAGATCAGGACAATGGTCTGGGAAGGAATTTGCTTCTTGTAGTTCTTAGGAGATAGGGTGTCCCAGACTATACAGGGCCACATAGTGGAACACGGGCTCAGTTGAAAGAAAGAGAGTAGAAGGAAGAACACCGAAGTCTTAGGGTTTCTCTTGCTGTGAAGAGACGCCGTGACCACAGCAGCTCTTGTAAAGGAAAACCTTTACCTGAGGCTGATTCACAGTTCAGCGGTTCAGTCCGTTCTGTCATGGCAGGAGCCTAGCGGCGTGCAAGGAAGACACGATGCAGGAGAGGTAGCTGAGACTTCTGCATCTGGATCCAGGACAAGACAATGAGCCACCAGGTTTGGCTTAAGCATTTGAGACCTCAAAACTCACCCCCAGTGATGCACTTCCTCAAACAAGCCACACCTCCTAATAGTGCTGCCCCTATGAACCTATGGGGCTCATTTCATTCAGACTACAATGGGCCAGAGGCTTTATTCTGGTTTCGATGGGAGGAGACAGGCAAGACACATTTAAGCAAATTCAGGATTAGGGAGTTTAAACAATTACCACAGGCTCTGGGCTGTAGGGTGGACTCCATCTGCCCAGTCCTGGCCCAGGGGAAACTTAGAACAAGGCTTGGTGTTTGGGAGTTGGGTAAATGAAGCAGTTGGTGACCGGAGATCTCTGGACTGGTCGCTTTGTGCATAGAAGGTTATGCTCTCCAGGAGTTAGCTAGCCTGGAGGGGTGATGCCTACCCAGCATTAGCAAGGCTTCCAACATGGTAGTACTTTATGTAATGCCGAAAGGAGAAAGGCAAGGAGCTGGGGAGATGGCTCAGTCGGTAAAGCGCTTCCACACAAGCATGCGGAGCAGAGTTCAAACCATAGAAGCGGTATGTGAAAGAGTCAGGATGCGCTGATCACCCCAGCACTGGGGAGGCAGAGGCAGATGGCTCTCCAGGGCTCACTGGCTGGCCAGTCTACACTAATCGCTAAGTCTCCAGCCAGTGAGAGATTCTATCTCAAACACGGAGAACAGCACTTGAGGAACGATGCCCAAATCTGACCTCTAACCCCCACCCCAACACAAGTATACATACATACACACACACATACAAGGTGGGGGGAGTACAGATCTGACTAATCTAGTAGTGTATGTGGCATGCCACCCTTCCCTTCAGAGGCTACCTACCCTCCATGGGGCCTGGCAGGCTGTCTCACTGCTAAATCTTCAGGCCAGCTGAGAGTAACTGAGTTCTAGCATCACTGTGGTCACTGGCCTGGTCTCACAGTACAGCTCCATGCCACGTGGGCCCAGGGCTGCTGAAGGGGGGCCTGGAGTCGTTCCTTCCTTCCTCATGAGCTTCCTGCCCTTTACTTTGCCTCTTCAACTAGAGGGACGTGTGGAGCGTCCAGGCCTGTGTCCTGTGCATATATAAAGCCCTCCAGACTGGGTACCCAGACTGAGCGCTTCAGGCTGATGACGTTCAGTAGAACTCTCTAGGCTGGCGGCCATCTTCTGTGTTTTGTGCTATCTAATTCTGTAGCTAGTAGCTACATGGGGCTAAAGAGCATCTAAAATACAGCTGTACAAATAAGGGGCTAGTTCTAATTTCCCAGTTGTTTGCAGCACCTTCAATTTAAACGGGCCACGTGTAGCTCGTGACTACGGCCCTAGCCTCAGACCTGAGCATAGTTCTAAATCCTAAGGCACAAGGATGGCTTAGCTCAAGGACAACCTGTTCAAGAAGACAGGCTCACCTCTGTGCCTCCAGCCCCCACACGGGCCCTGACCATCTTTGAGCATCATTTAAAGATGAAGAAAGATAAAATTACAGGAGGGGAGCGCGGAGCCCTTCTCTCCTGATTGCTCCATTCAGTCTCATCTCTTCGGAAAATGATATTCAGGCTGCTCCTCTCGCTAAATAGTAGAAGGCTGGGGAACAGGGAGCCGGCATGAAGGAAACCACAGGCTTCTGCCCAGCATCTGCCCTCCCTCATCCCACACCTGCACAAAAAATTGCGGGGGGGGGGGGCATCCACCCCACCTCATCCTCTTCTTGTTCTTGATGGCCAGAATGGGGGCAGGGAGCCACACAGCAGGGGGCAAGAGGGTGAACACACCACAACCGGAGGAATCTGGAAACACCTGGAAGGGCACCAGCTGAATCTGGGGCTGATGGGGACTTCGAGCAGAACTAATGACCGGGTTCCACACCTCATTAGCTGGGTAGGATTCCTTCTACCCGTCCCTCACCCCCTCCCCACTACTGGGTGGAAAGAATTTTGCTAACAATGTTAAACTATTTGCCATTTCCAAAAGGGGGGAAAATCAATTAAAAAAAAGAGAGAGCGAAAGTAAAAATTAATTTCTTCATTCCTTGTACTGATCGTTTGAGATAGGATTCTCCCCGATGGGGATCTGGGGAAGAACACAGGTCCTAGGGCATTCGATAGAACATTCTCTCTGCAGTGATTAAGGTTGCATCTCCCACCACGTCCCTGAAAACGTGGCCTGGGACTCAGTACAACCTCCAGTTTCATGCAGTTCCCCTAACTTCACAGGAGGGAAACCCAAAATTCGGGGTGCTTGGCAGCAGTAGATAAACATACTTGCTTTACAAAATACAGGTGCATTTTGTCACTGGGTGTGATGGCCTAGGCCTGTAGTCCTAGCACCCGGGAGTCAGAGGCAGGGGAATCTCAAGTTCAAAGCCACCCTGGGCTATATAGAGAGACCCTTACAAAAAAAAATGCATTCTGCCTCTGCAGACCTTTCTGGATGAAGGCAGAGCCATGCTTCCTTTTTTCAGATTGATTTTTATTATCTTAAAATTATGTTTACATGTATATCTACACACAGGAACACAAATGTCAGCCGAGGCTGGAGGCATCAGACCCTCTGGGAGCTGGTGGTTCTGAGCCATCTGATGTGGACGCTGGAAACAGAACTTGGGGTCCTCTCCAAGAACACCAAGTGCTCTTAACTGCCAAGCCAGCTTCCCAGCCTCCCTCCCCTTGCTTCCTTCTAAGGAATCTGTCTGTGATGGCCAGTCATCATTGTCAACTTGACTAGATTTGGAATGACTTCGGAGACATGCCCCTGGGTATGTCTGTGAGGGCATTTCCAAGAGAGGTTTCACTGATGAGGACTCTAAATGTGGGTAGCCCTACCCCATGGGCTGAGCTCCCACCCAGGCTGAAGGACAAGGGGAAAGGACCATCGCTGAGCACTGATGTTCATCTCTCTTTCTGGACTGTACTGCGATGTGACCAACCACCTCATACCCCCGCCGCCAGAGCTAGAGCCCCCGTCACTGCCACGTCTTCTGCTCCACGATGGACTGCATCCCCCTAAACCGTGAGCCCAAATAAACCTCTCTTTCATAAGATTGTTTCGTCGGTGTTTAGTCACAGTGGTGAGAAAGATTACTAATGCAGAATGTCTCGGAAGCCAGAACGTGAACTCTGGACACAGCACACCTCCTGGTCCTTGCCCGATAGCTGCCCAGAAGCTTCTAGAAAGTTCCAAGTGCGCTCTCCTAACCTCAGACAACTCGGATCACTAACAACATTTCCAGTGGAGAAACTTTTATAAAATATTACAATCAATTCAATTGCATTAACACGCCTCTAAGTTCACGGTGGTAGAAAACACAATAGTTCTCTATTACATCAAGTGTCTGGTCAGATATATATCACACGTAACTGAAACCAGAGGCGCTGGGGGGGGACCCTGTTTATCCCAACTTAGCAAAAGGAATTATCTGACAGTGGGAAATGAAAAACTACTAATAAACATTACAGTTTATTGAAAAGTTTAAACAATGAGATTAAGGAAACTTCTGCAATATTAAGAAATGTATATTATCCTGCTTTACCTTTGCTTGGGGAATTCCTCAAGGATTTATTATTTTGTTAGGGCACCAAAAAGCCCGTGTTATGTTAAGGGATTCTGCTTCCTGCCTGCATTCCGCATGAATCTGGAATTAAGAGGCAATCTCTCTTCGGCACATTGTACTTCCCAAAATTAGGTTTAGTTTCTCGAGCAGAATTTGGAAGTCAGTGTTCTCCCGCACTCCATCCGGTACCCTTAGCCCATAATAATAAAAACTCTGGAGAAAAAAAGACCCTTCTTTGGCTGCCACTTTCACCGGTGGTTGCTCAATGCATGGACCTGAGAGTGGGGATGCCAGGAAGCTGTCTGCCCCCAAGACACAAGGCAAAGGACAGAAGCCAGGGCTGCTGTGGGCAATGGTGTGGCCTTTGGTCAGGGAGAATTGGGCTGAGTGGCCCTAACCTTCAGATGTTCCGCATTTCCTGGCGGCATTGTCCCTGACTCATCTCTCCATGTCACTCCTTAGTCCCCAACGGTAAACCCGCTCTTTCTCAGATATTAGACATTTCAGAAACAGTCTACAATGCTGTCGTGAGATCCAAAGTTCAGATGGGGAAAAACTGAGTTCTGATTTTCCCACTGTACATTGAGGTTACTGACAGCGGTAACTCAGCATCACTGCAGACTAAGAGGCACAAGCAAGGATGTCTCCAGCCTTCCTGGATGCTGAGACCTCAAACTCACCCCCTCTGAACACCCCCACCACCACATACACACACACACACACACACACACACACACACACACACACACACACACACCACCTCCACCATGCCGGATTCAAAGCTTAGGCCCTGAACAGCACTCACAGGAAATCCACTAACACCCTTGGGTTCCGGTAGAACTTGGGAAGGCTTGTGAGTGTCATGTTGAGGGAGGAAGAGGGACAGGGACAGGCCACGTCAGACAGTGCAAAGCATGCCACAGCTCGCTGCTCCCCCCCAGCCTACTGAAGATCCCACAGCTGACAAGTGGCCTTGGCTATTCTGCCACCCCAAGAACATCTTGTCTTCTTGGATTGTTTTCAGAATAGGATGAGGTGACCTACCTTGAGTCACCCATATGACCACCTCCAGGGAGGGCCAGCTGCAGGTGTGTGAAGGTGACCTCTGTCACATGTAGTCCATGGGATGTCACCGTTGCTGGGAGCTGAAGAGTTCTCTCTTCCACATTGCCTAATTGGGACCAGCAGAAGGCAAGTGTGTACAGGTCAGCATAGCCTGGCATCAGGTACAACTGGTCCCCAGATGGTCAGGAGCCACCTGGCAGATAGAAAAGACCGTAACAAACATCATTGTCTCGGACACACCAGACTCCTTGGGCAACCTCTCGAGATCTTAGTTTCCAAGGCCTCAGTATGTCCACTCTGCAAAGTGGGTACCGTTCTGCTTCCTCAAGGCACCGAGTAAATCTTCGCCAAGGCCAGCAGGTTTCATCGTCTCAGACTCCTTTCCTGTTCCAGAATTGCTTTGTCTCATTAACCTACTACCGCAGCTGTTTGCCACCCTCCCCCATCATCTCATTACCCAGAGACCCTGGGGGCAGCCGCCAGTCTCCAGCTCACTCTCAGCTGGAGAGGTGAGGGCAAAGCTCATTTCCCACAGGTTAGGACTGAGGACTTGCTTGCTTCCATTATGTTCATGTATGTTGGAAATTTCCCCAAATGCATTTTAATCTCCATCTGCCATTATAGGGAAATTTTCCCAATTTTTTTTGTTATTACATCTTGTCACTCTAGAATATAATGTTTAACCATCAACCCTCAAGACAAGCCTGTGCTTCAAACCCAAAAATCTCTCTCTTGGAAATTTATGCGTCGTAAGTTGCTAGGCTGATCACCCAAAATGGCTGGCGCGAGGATTTGGCTCCATTCTTTTGTTCTTGCCCCAACACAATAGAATGGTGCTCAGATCTGACTTTCCTCATACCTCCGTGAGGTCTCAAGGAAACCAGACTCCTGGTCTAAAGGAGGTCGTTATGCCACAAAGGACATCCCAGTGAAAGTCGCCCATCTCGCCGAATTGGAGGGAGAGCTGCCGAGGAAAGCCAGATACAACAGAAGCCACACGAGTTAATGGCACTCGGCACGAAGACATTTGTCCTTGGCTGTGCAGTCATAATTCATGTGTAACAGAAATCCTGTAACAGTGGGGATTTCAAAGGCAGCATGACCTGCATCTTGTGGGTGGTTGGGGCGTGCTGTGCAGAGGGCAGAGTCTAAAAGCAGCCGTGCCTCTCTTCTTGAACAGTAGGGAAGAGCCTGCCGACCCACGGAATCGCCCAGTGAAGGAAACAGTGTTCTATCTCCATTGCTGTACAGCTGTTCTTCATGGCCTCCAGTGTGGTAGGAATTGGTGTACTATTTCACAGATGGGAAAACCGAGGCTCTGTGATGAACCAATGTGTCAGAGGCCACACGGAATCACAGCAGTGGGTTCATACTCAGATCTGTGTACCTTTAAATCTCTTTCCGTGTAGATTAGATCCATGTATGTCTCTCTTAGTGTCCTCATTGTTGTCTAGGTTCTCTGGGATTGTGATTTGTGAACTGGTTTTCTTTGCTTTATGTCTAAAAACCACTTATGAATGAGTACATGTGATAATGGTCTTTCTGGATCTGGGTTACCTCACTCAATATGATGTTTTCTAGCTCCATCCATTTGCCCTCAAATTTCAAAATGTGTTTTTTTTTCTGCTGTGTAGTACTCCATTGTGTAAATGTACCACATTTTCCATATCCATTCTTCAGTCAAGGGGCATTTAGGTTGTTTCCAGGTTCTGGCTATGACAAACAAAGCTGCTATGAACATAGTTAAGCACATGTCCTTGTGGCACAATTGAGCATCCTTTGGATATATACCCAAAAGTGCTATTACTGGGTCTTGAGGAAAGTTCTTTCCTAATTTTCTCTGTCTCTGTTTCTCTCCACCCCTGTCTGTCTCTCTGTCTCTGTCTATATCTCTGTGTGTCTCTGTGTCTCTCTCTTCAGTATAGCACAAAGAGCTTATTCCACCAAGCATTCCCTTTCTTGATATACTACTGCCTCATCACAGACCCAAAACCAACAGGTCTCCCCAACCGTGGCCTGACCCCTCCAAAACTTGGGTCAAGATAAACCTTCCTTCTTTTCAAGTTGATTTTCTCAAACATTTGTTACACTTACAGAAAGCTGACTAACATACCATACATTTCTTTCTTTGAGGAAAGAAAGAAAACCCTTCCTAGGATAAGGGTATTTCCCTAACACAAGATTTATGCCCATTAAGGGCCAAAGCAGAGGCCAGACACCATTGTGTGGCGGTGTTTTGTCTGTGCTCTAACAAATGAAGCTTGTCTGGAGATCAGAGGGTGGAGCTAGCCACTAGTTAACCGTAGAGGTCAGGCAGCGGTGGCACACACCTCTAATCCTAGCACTTGGATCTCTTGCCTTTGATCCCAGCACTTGGGAGGCACAGGTCTTTAACCCCAGCACTAGGGAGGTGGAGACGGGAAATGATATGGCTGGGCAGAGAGAGGAATATAAGGCTGGTGGAGACAGGAGCTTGCCCCCTTTCAGGCTAGAAAGTTGGGGAGGTAAGAAGTGGCTCTGGCTTGCTCCTTTGTCTCTCTGATCTTTCAGCATTTACCCCGATATCTGACTCCGGGTTTTTATTATGAAGACCAATTAGAATTCACGTTACACCATTGAGCATATGCAAAGCTAGGGAAAAGCCAGAGCTTTCACACATTGCAGATGGCCATAGAAAGCGTTTTGAGAGAAGCTCTGGTACTTTCCCCAGGAACCTGTGCATACATCTTGCAACTCAACACTTGTACTCCTCCTCACTATTTTCCCAAGAGGAAGGAAGAAATGCATCCATAAAAGACTCGCACACAGTGCTCCCAACATTGTCATTAGTACTACCCAGAAACCGCAAAGGATTCGGGCATCTGGTCCTCGAGGCCTGAGCAATCACCTAGGACTGGGGAAGTCACAGTCCCTCGAGAGGAACTTGTACTAATATTAAAACTAAACAGCCATGCAGCTAAACCACCTTCCAAATACTTAAACTTGCACCCTTAGTCCGGCAATGTCACCCACCTTTCCCACAGACACTTCATCTCGCAGTGGGCAACGGTTAATACGTCATAAAGGTAGGAGGGGACTAGTTGGGGGCGGTGATTATCCGAAGGAGAGGGAGGCAGACGAGTACAGCAGGCTGAGCAAGTTCACAACACATCTCATACACAGATGAAACCATCAAAAACCAAACTTAAAAATTAGTTAATTAATTCAGGCATCTGTCTGTCTGTCTGTCTGTCTGTCTGTCTGTCCATGGTGTGTTTTTAGTCAGCTCACACTATTAAAAACAAAAGATAGCAGACCAGGTAGCTCAGATAACCAATATTCATCTTAGTAATTCTAGAGGCTGGGAAATCCCAGCTCCAGAAGGTCACATGGTCAGGCTGTGCGGGCTCTGCTCCTGAGCTGCTGGGGGCCACCTTCTCGGTGTCTTACGTGATGAGGAAACCCAGCAGGGGAGTGATTTCTTTTCCATGGAGTTCTAGAATATGTCAAACTAATCCATTGGGAGGAAAGAACTGAGCTGCGGTTGACTGAGGTGAAGGGGTGAAGGTGAAGACTGTGCGAGGAGGAAGCCCCAAGGAACTTTCTAGAAGGATGTGACTACTGCATAACCAGAATGGGGACTAATTTATCAGGTCACACAGAATAGCATACTTAAGTTTGTATGTTGAATTAGGTGCTAATTTTACTTGGATGAGAAGTACTGATAACAGGGTTGGAGAGATGGCTCAGAGATTAAGAGCACTGGCTGCTCTTTCAATGTTCTGAGTCAATTCCCAGCAACCACAGGGTGGCTCACAGCTCTCTATAACAGGATCTGAAGCCCTCTTCTGGCATGCAGGTGTACATGCAGGGCAGTCATATACATAAAATATAAATAAAAAATTTTTAAAAAATCACCAATTTCTTTGCCAGGTAGTGGTGGCACATGCCTTTAATCCCAGCACTTGAGAGGCAGAGGCAAGCAGATCTCAGTGAGTTCAAGGCCAGCCTTGTCTACAAAGCAAGTTCCAGAACAGCCAGGACTGTTACACAGAGAAACCCTGTCTTGGAAAAAAAAAAAAAAAAGCAAAAGTACTGAATACAGGGCCGGTGAGATGGTTCAGAGGGAAAAGGCACCTGCCACCAAGCCTGATGACCTGAATTCAATTCCCAGGACCTACGTGGTGGAAGGAGAGAACCATCTCCTGACAAGAGCTTCATGGCATACATGTACACACATCGGCACACATGCACACCCACACACACATATATACACACACACAAGCACACCCATATACACATAAATAAATGTGTTTTTTTTTAAATCTTGCAGAGTACTAAAAGTAGGCATTGAACTCTACCTAAAGATACACACGCTGAAATTTTCACAGATAGAATTTACGGAGGCCTCCAGTTCACTTTGAAACGCATCAAAAACTGAAGACCACTTCGGGGTGGATGAAAGGCAGGACGGATTCTAGTTACATAATTAAAACAACTAGGGCAGAACGCAGATCGCGCCAGCTAGGTGCAGGATGTGGGCCGTGCCCGTGCAACTCTTTCCTCTTTTCTGCAAATTTTCCATAATAAAATGCTAGAGGGTTGCATTGGCCTCACCCCTGGTCAAGCACAAAACAGCCCCAGCAAGGTCGTAAGCAAGCCCTGGGTGACTGCTGTCACTGTTATTACACAATGTCGCTCTGAAAGTGCCCACCACATTTCAAATGCAAATGCCTTTAGGGACCTTTGTGTCCTCTACAGCAGGGAGGGGCTGAAGTCTCCTCCGAGGACTGCTCTTGGACCCCAGGCTCAGCGCCCTGTAGCAACAGCAGCAGCCAGCAGCCGCCGACCCCGCCAAGATTCCCAGAGAAGACAGAATCCCAGGTTTCAGTAAATGTGCCTGAACATTTTGTTTTTCAAGATATTTTGTTTTGAAAATACAGAAAACACACCTGGCCCTCATTTCCTTCCAAACTCCATGCTCATAAGAATGTTCTGGAGAACCTGCGTTTGGGCCCCAGCTCCTACGCCAGGTGCCACAGCCTAATACAGCTCCAGCCCCACAGAATCCGACACCCTCCTCTGGCTTCCCTGAGCATCTGCACACACGGGCCACGCCCTCCCACAGCCATACACGTACACACAAATTAAAAAAAAACTGCTTAATCCAAAAGAAGCTTTGTTGTTGTTGTTTGGTTGGTTGGTTGGTTTTGT